TTCTCGGAAGATCAGTCATCATAGCCTCGCTGGCATTTTAAAAGATGTCTACGGCTACAAACGACACTATTTTCACGCATTTACACTGTTATAACTGCCTCGTGGCTTGTTTAGTCCCTGATGCATTTATATTTTTCTTTCTTTCCATTTATTTATTGTTTTATTTTTATTTATTATTACTGGATTTTGCTTCCTGATAACTTTAAGAATTAACGACAGTGACAGATGCCATATTACGCTGATTACTGCAGACGATTACTGTTGACCATCAAATTTATTTTCATTTAGTTTTTTTAACAATATTATAATCGTTTACAGTATTACATGCTCAGCTGAAAAATGGGGCAATGCATGATTCCATTGAAGCAGCAAAACTTCAGGATTAAAAGATTTTACGTCCGCAGAAACGTATTATGTAACTGTTACTACAGCGTCGATTGCGGACACTTCGATAAGATATACATTTGAACGATCTAGCGGAAACTGAATATCCGGATTAAAAAGAACTTATCTAAAGCCGCTTCAAATAGCTGGATTACTCTAATATGCTTAACACGCCCTTTCTGAGGAACACGCCTTTATAGTCAGACGACTGCGTCTGTACTCAATAAGGATCATTCAATAATAGGTCGTTTAAAAACAGAATCCTGTATATTCTGGCGTTGAAACAGGTACGTGCAATGAATACTCCTCCGCTGAGAAAGAGTGAGCGGTGGAGATTAATCCTCTATACGGATTAAGTTCCGGAACTAATCTATCACTCACTTTAAATTGATGGATTTTGTATAAGGCATTTGCTCGCTGCAATTCCGTTGTGCCGCGACGATGATACGGCGTCAGCGAAACGAGTTTGTAATAAAGTGTGAGGGCTTGCGTTGTTTAGTGCCATCGACCCTGAATCGGCAAATCTCATACGAGCACAGAATAAGATAAGCCATGTCATACTTAGTTTGTTTCATTTTTGGTCTTTATTTGACTAAGGAGATAGAAACGAAACTTAGCAACGTTTTGGATCCCTGCTTGCCGCACAATTCCATTAGGTGCAACCCATTATTTCATGAAGTGCGGTGCTGATCATCTCCGACGCCCTGTTACCAGACAGGATAACCATTTTTGAATATTAAGTATACAGTCGTTTACAGACGCAATCTCCAGCTTTTTCCACCCACTCTGGAAGGAACGAAAGCGCAATTGATTAAGAGGGATTCAAACTCAACATATTTAGACTATTAATCTGACGCACTTCCGATCGAGCTACACTGATCCTGACCATTTGTCGGAACATGTGACCACGCTGCATAAAAATGTATAATTAAAGACAATTCCCTTAAGCAAACTTTTAACCTCACGTCGCTACCGTACTACGAAGGCCTGAAACAAGTAAAGCCATTTGATTCGATATTTAGCAAGGCGAAAAACAAAGAAAAGTTACTTATTTAACACCGATTCGATGTTTCAACTTAACTGGCATCAGTCATTCAACAGGAAATAAATAGTAAAATATTCACTTGCATTGGGCGAGCACGTGCCTGGCCAGATGTTCCAGCGGTTGGAGTCGTTGCTGATGAGGTAATAAACTAGGATTTATGTAGCGGGAATGTCAAAAGTACTAACACCACCACTAACCAGGTCAACTGCCTTAAACTTGTCTCGTATCATCTAATCCGTGAAAACCACTATATGCAAGTTCTTTCGTATCAAAACGTTTTATTGGTGTTAAATAAAGCATATTTTGTTCCTGAAGCATCTTGAAGCTCGTCACATAGTTCCAACGACGCTGTCTACCAGTACCTTCTAGATGCGTTTGTACGAGGTGATGCGATCACAAATGATAAGATGCTGATGACCGTTGGTCTAAGAAACTATCAGATGAACTGAGAGACTGGCCCATGGCTGGCTTAGACCAAAAAAACAAATATTTTAAAAGATTTTTTCTCTTGGGAATCACGCACCGGCCAGAGACTGATGCGATGACAAAACAAAACATGAAAAAAAAAAATTTTATGCAGAGCTATTTGCGATAAAGAATATTATCTTAGCAGCAGAAGCGAACGTTGCCTTAACATTAATTTGAAGTGCCATTTCTGTAAGACATCATAAATTTGGATCACTCGGTAGCTGAAGCAATGTTAGTTTCAGATGGCGATGAAAAAATAACATATTCTTCTTGCTGTATTTGCTGCCGACTGTGGAAGCACTAAAGAGGCATCGGTTTCACCTTCAACGTATTTGTATTCCCCCCTCCCCTTTAAACTGAGCGACAAAAATCCTATTGTAAGAAGCTTTTAAATGAAATGATAGCAATTTTTATGGTTTATAGTCGAATCAGCTGAAGTTGGAGTATTTTATTCACGCTTTAGTATTCATAATGAAAGTCAGCCCAAAAAATGATTTAATTTACACAACGTAGTGCATAAATAAACCGTTTTGTACTGTTTTTCAATCACTTGTAAAAATAAATCGATAACCAGGTGAACGACGTGCTACTCACTTCTCTCATTTTGTCAAAATCGAGCGATGGACGAGGATGGCAGCGTCTAATGCCTCTATTGGCCATCGCCTGGCGATCGTAGTTTTCGAAGCGGTTGCGTTTTCGCAGCGAGGAGATGCTGTGCGATGACAGGTCGTCGTCTTCTTCGATTGGTGCCGCTGCTTTTGAAGCTGCCCCAGTCCGGCCTTCGTTCACGCCAGCGGTTGCAGAGGAAGAAACGTGCTGATGGCATTGCCTGGTCAGAGGAATAAGAAGTTTGATGGGAGCGGTGCGTCGAGACGCGGTCAACACACGACTCTTGGCTTGCGCTACCGAAAGATTGCTGTTTCCACTTGACCCTGAGTCAGACGAACAAGAGTTCTGCAAGTAGGAACAACAGTAAGAATAAGCATCATACGTAATGCGACCGACCAACCGACCGATCGATCGAAAACTTCAACGTCTTACCGGAAAACATTTTCGCTTTTCTGTTCCTGTAGCAGAGGACCCGCCTCGTTTACAACAGAGTGATTCTAGTTCCTGAGAATGTACGCTTCCAGACACATTGTTCGCTGTGGACGAGTCTTCGAACGGCATTGGGTCGCCGCCAGCGGAACAGAGTCGATGCGAGCCGCTGCTCCCATAGCAGGACTTGCGGACGGGAACAAACGCGGTCAGCGTCTCTACGTCAAAGTCGCCCCTGTCCGTCGAAAGGCTACCGCCCCCTGACAGTTTCGACGACACCGCAGCCGAATCGAAATGGTTGGCCTGCGCCTGGCAGCTGATCTGCTCTCTTAGTCGCTGCATTTGCTGTCGGGTATGGTAAGGGTGGCATGGTAATTCTTGGAAAGAAAGAAAGGCCGAATCTTCGGCCATCGCTAGTCCGCTTGTGTTCACCATGCTGACGCCGTCCAAGCTAAAGGCAAAGCGTTGGCTAGACGAATATCACAATAACAAATCGTCTAGCTGAAGCAAACCAAACCCGGGACAGTGAAATTACAACGCACCGGTTACGTTGATGATATTTACGGATAAATGTGCAATCCTAAAATCGACTTTTAAGAACTTCAGCTACCAATGCCACGAATTCACCCATAAAAATATATCAACC